TTAAGTTTTTGATAGCCTATTTTAAAAAACACATGCAATCCCTGGCAATATTTCATACCTAAGATTGCCAATGTGATTTTACAAGAGTAGAATTTCAGATCTAAACTTTTGAGCTAAAAGATCACACCTGTTTAAAAATGCAAATAAAGTGCTAGCCAAAAAGCAGGAAGGCATGAAGGTCAATTAATCTGATTTCAAGAATACCAGTGGAAAATCAGACCATAGTAAATTAAATTAATGGAGGTTGCCTATCTCCTTCAACTGGAAGGGACCTTGAAAAGTCATCAAGTCCAGTCCCCTACCTTCACAGCAGGACCAAGTACCATCCCTGACAAATTTTTGCTTTGAATCCCTAAATGGCCTCTGTAAGGATTGAACTCACAACCCTGGGTTTAGCAAGCCAATGCTCAAACCACTGAGCTATCCCTCCCCTCCCAGCTAGCCTCTTCAAGACTGAACAGATTGAATGCATACAAGATATCTGAAGCAGCGATAAGTCACTTGGTCATTCTTAGGACCTTTGGTTCAAAGCCTTGCCTCACCTCAAAAGAGGCAGCTTTGTAAAGGAGAGAAATGGAGGGACTTCTAACCCAACCCACTGTTCCAATTTCAGGATGGTATTAATGGAGGGATTCTTAACCAACCTCTTTTCCTGCAAGGAAGAGATGTAACTGTCATGGCAGGGGCAAAAAGGCAATCACAATACTAGTGGGGGATCAGGCAGTTTCCTTTGGGCAGATTGCTTGAGTTGCCACTGAAGGAAGGAAAGGAAATGGAGTGAGGCACTTCCCAGCTCTCCAGAAGGCTCCACTAACACACTCCCCTCACTTGACTATGGAGAACAGTCTCTGCAGGGGAGAGAAAACATTGTTCCTGGATCTGAGTCTAGTGATTTCTCTTGTCCCATTACATTTTGGTAGAGATGAGGCAGCTTCTACCACTTCTCATTCATCAAATCATCCCTAGAACCTCATAATTGCTCCCTGATTCAAATGGGGTGGTTCAGAAAGAGATATGGATTGTGCTGGTTTCTGAGGCTTGTGGGTGTTTTTCAGTCAGTGACTCTGACATTTCTATGAGTTCAGTGGTTGTGGTGGGAGAGGTGATCTCTCAGGTCTATAGGAGTAAGCCAGTGAAGAGTTTTGAGCGTCCCCAGAGAAAACTTGAACTGGACTGTGTGTTCCTGGAGTGCCAGTGAAGAATATACAGGTGGGATGTTTATGGTGACCTGTGCTGCTGAATAGACAGCCTTGATTAAAATGGAAATACTGAGGGGGTGGTGTTAGACTATCCTAACAGGGCAGATATTGCCTACTTCCATGTCATGTTTGGGAGCCCATAGTGGGGTCCAAAGGCATCAATACTCTTATTCTGTTTACAAGGGAGCTGAAGGACAGCCTATGGATCTGGGCAACAATTTTTGAAAGGATTTCTCAGTGGCTCATGCTAGTGGTCAGAATGCATTTTGGGCAAATAGTCAGAAACACTTTGATACTTTTAGTGGTATCACATTTGGTGTATTTTGAGTGGGGACTATGGTAGGAGAATTGGCCCTCCACAAGGAATTTAGGGGAGAAGACTTCTAAGCAATCATTTTCTCCCACTCCTGTAGCAGTTTGTATGTGGAGTGAAAGGCTGAGGAATTAAGCAGGTTTGTGTCTCATTCAAAAATCAAACCATGCCTCAGATTATTGGCAGCCAGTTGTGGTGGTTTTGTAGGTTCATGCTGCTGGAATCTTGGATACCCATTTTACTTCTTGTTTTAGCACATCCCTCAAACTGACAACTGTATTGTTGATACTTTGTCCTGTTTCCAAGATAGGTCTTCAGAGAACACAATGATATTATTTCATGACAACACTGGGATGGGAATAGAAACTAGTTGGCCCCAGGGAAATAGAGAAATTGCCATGATGTTTTTGTGATTTAATATCTTTCAAGATACTCCACCTTCCCTTATCATGGGTCATATCAAAAGGAGGAGCTTCAAGCATTTTTTGTCCAGTCAAGACTTTAATCACTTCCAATACCCTCTGAATGAGCAGTTCTCTCATTCTGTGCCTGTTTTCTACAGACCATGTGGGATTTTGAGAGGGATCAGATCTCCTACAGATGGACACTTGCCCCCAGAACCATGTTACTGTTTTAACCCTGTGGAATATCAATTGCAAATACTCTGGGCACAACCACTGATTTAAGCCAGGAGAAAGAGCATGGAGTCTTTATTTCTCATCTCTTGTTGCCTTGAAAAAGTAATGTAGCACATATACTGCACAGTCTTAGCACAGCATATATAATGGTTATTTTTAATTTTATAGTAAATATTGTTGGAAAGATTTGCATTAATTTGCTTCAGACTCTGGACTGAGTTTATAATTTGCATTAATGACTTGGCAGCCTCTTTAAAACCAGTTTTGCTTATAATCATTGCAGCAATTTGAATAACAAATGGTTCTATTGTAAGCAAAAGGAATTAAGCACTTTTAGGATACCACTGCAAAATTATGTTAATTACATTTAATAGCACTTAATGGAAATATACAACAGATTTAGCAGCCTTTGAAAGTATTTATTTTCTAAAGTTCTAAAAATAGTATAATACTTAATAAACTTTTTGGATTTGTTCTTTTCATTTAAATGATTCTATCCTGATTTGATTAACCTGATGAAATATTTCTTATGTATATTAACCATACTAGTTCATTTCTTTTTCTACTACATTTTGCAAATTCTTTCCTTTTACACAGAAATGTAAGAAGAGTACACAAAGGACTTCAGCCTTCATGGCTATGTCCCTGATTCATTTAATGCTGATTGGAAAAAAGAGTGTCTTTAAGGGAGAATTGAAAAGCCATTGGTATGGTACAATTAAAAAATAATAATTTAACAAAAGATTCCATACCCTAAGAAAAGATCTAGTCAATAGTTTTGCACAAGATGAGCAGTGTGAATTCTGAGGGAGGGAAAAAATATGACACCTGGGACAAAAATTAGTTGCCAACTTGCATCTGTTACTAATATTCTTTCTGTTGTTAGCTGGGAACTACTATCCCTTCTCAAATATCTGCTTTGGGGTGAGTGGATCCAACTGGACACATTCTATCTGCTCCCTTGAATATGTGACATGCAGAAGGCTGCACGAACATCTTTATTGCATGGGTGAGCCATGCAATTGAACCACAGTAGTTCTGATACATAACGTCTGTGCAGCTAATAGGGCTTACCCCAGCTGACTATTTACATATTATACCCAGGCCTGCTGCTGGTGGGGAGAGAAGAGAGCAGCTGCCTCAGGGTGCAGTGATTCAAAAGGACTCAGGCATCTCAGATGCTGTCGCTCCTCCAGAAGTGGTGGCAGCTGGAGGACCAGGCCCTTTAGGCTATGTCTACACTGCACAGTTATTTCAGAATAAGCTATTCCGAAATAGCTTATTTCAAAATAGCACGTCTACACTGCAGGGAAGCCTCAAAATTAGTCAGAAGCAAGCTTCCCTAATGTAGATGTTATATCTCGATTTAGAGCCTCAGGAGGAATAACTTAGAATGGCTCTGGTGAGGGGCTATTTCAAAATAGTAGAAGTGGAGCATCTACACATGCCTTATTTTGAAATAGCTATTTCAGAATAGGTGTTATTCTTTGTAGAATTAGGTTTACATAAGTGAGAATAAGTCATCCATTATTTTGAAATTATTCAAAGTAACGGAATTGCTGTGTAGATAGATGCTCACATAGCTATTTTGGAATAATGGATGTTATTCCGAAATAACTTTGTTGTGCAGATGCACCCTTAGATTGCCACTGGAGCACCACACTATGCACTCTGGGCAGCTCTAAGGACTGGATGGGGAAAGAGGAGACTGCACAGACTGCTCCAGGCAGCACTGAGGGCTGTCTACCTCCAGCCCCCTCTTCCAATCAAGGTCCTGCCCCTTGTGGGAGTGTGAAGCTTTTCCGCAAAAGGGGTGCAGTCTAGACACAGCCTGTCAGTTTTGTTCCTTATTCTGTAACTCTGAGACAAACCCATTTAATTAATATTGAAGTAAAGCATAGTATTAGATGAGTCTAATTATGTGTTTGCACTATTTGTATTTTGCATTAATTGTCTGATGCTTTGTTTTGTTTGCTATTAGCCTTACTCGTACAGATGCTGTTTTTTCGCTATATTATTGGTCACAGGGAAGACACACAAGCATCTAGTCAGGCCTGCATGACAATACAGGTTACATGGCATATTTACCTTGCATATTTTTAAGAGGCCCAGAAACTGTGGATGATAAAGTTTAACAATTGTTATTATATTTACATATACCTCTTTTATGTATTACATGTGATAAAACTCTCACAAAAACTTTGGTCATAATTAGTCAAGCAACAATGAGGAATAAGGAACATTTTGGAATAGCACTTTATTTCAAAATTACCTCAATATAAGCTACGCAATTTGCATAGCACAAATTGCGTAGTTTTCAAGGCAAGGGTTCTGTATAGACCCACCCCCAGTTACCTTTAGGCAATAGATATCAGACTCCTTACCCAGTTCAGATATCATAGAATTATAGGGCTGAAAGAGACCTCAGGAGTTCATTGAGTCCAGCCCCTGCCCAAAGCAGGACCAATCCCAACTAAATCATTATCCTTTAACATAAAATGATTTCTAGGCAAGTTAGGCAATTATACACATATTTAAAAAGAATCCAAGGCAGTTGTAGGATACAAAGGTTGCATTAAGCAAAGCAGGGGTGGGGAACCTTTTTTAGGTTGAGAAGGAAAATGTATGCTGTTGAAGGGAACAATTTGAAAAGTTCCGGAATCTTATATGTAACTGACCGAATGTACCCTGCATTGTGTGATAGACAGTGAACTGACTGAAACCCGTCTGATCTAGTGTAGCTGATTGTGAAGATGAAGCTAAAACTCATGTATCTAAGGTTATCTATGCATACTTGAGATAGAGATAGCTCTGAGGATTAAGCCAATCATAACGCTGTTACTAGCTTACATATTGTCTATTCCATTTTGTTGTAACTCTGGATATATAAGGTTGCTGTGGACAGTTTGATTTGGAAGTCTTCCTTTGAAACTTCCCAGAGCTGTGTTTCAATAAAGGTGTTTCTTTCCTTCCAACCCCAAGTCTGGGTTTCTGTGACAGTTTCCTTGGTGCTGCGACTCGGATCTCTGACACCTGCCAGTTCTGGAGCTGCTGCAGATCTTGGAATGGAACTCACTTCGGTGCACATCTAAGGTGGGAGACCTTTAGAAATCTCCATAGAGGGGCTTCACTTCTGAGTTTTGTGACCCCTGTGAGCTGGGCAGACTAACGAGATCTGTGCCATTTGGGCTGGGTGGAGGGACATACTACTCCTTGGTGAATTGATTGCACCCTGTGTGTGTGTGAGTGAATATGCATGAGTCGCTGTGTGATCCTCCTTGGGGCACTTGTCAGCCTTTCCTAGTAGGCTGCCCACCTTGTACGGACTTCAGTCCTAGAGGTTAAAGACACAGGTGAAATGAAGAGAGGATGGATCAACAGCACTAAATGAATGGTGTGTGAGAGTTGTCGCCAAACTTTCCCTTTTTCCTCCATGGCCCACTCCTAGAGAGTGGAAAAGTCTCCTTAATGCAATTCCTGTCCATGGTTAAAACTTAGGCCAACTTTTTCCTTTTCCCTCCATGGTCCCACTCCTTGAGAGTGGAAAAGCCTTCTTAATGCAATTCCTGTTCATGGTTAAAACTTTAAGTTAGGTGCATCCAACTCTTAAGTATGGTGAGCCTTTGCCTCCACTAAATTACATGTATGTCCATTACAGAACCAGTACATGCAGGTATTTGAGAAAATGAAATTGGTTTACTAGAGAGAACCTCTTCAAGCAGAAGCAGTTCCCTCTAGAAGGGACATTTGACTTGGATAAAATAGTGCACTTGAAAGGGGCCTGAGAATCTCAGGGGTCAAAGATTAGCAGCCACAATGGAACACTTAAGAATCCTCTAAATGGAAGCACGAATCTAAGGTTTGGAGCTTCCAGGATACCAATGCTAAGTTAAAAGCCTAAGTAGAACAGACACCTCGGGTTCTGGTGACTCCACGTCTGGTGCCCCAACCCCAGTGAAAACTCGGCATTTGGATATCCTGCAAAGAAAATGTGAATTTTCTTGAAAAAGCAAAGAAACTGGCTAAGAAGCAGAGAAAAGTAGCCAGAGAGCTCCAAAAATTAGAAGACCTTGATCCAAAGGTTCTACCTGCAGGTAGTGAAAAAGGAGCTTGTGCTAATTATCCCCTCTGCGAGTATCCAGCATCTGGAGGCAAAATCACAGTGCATGCACCTTGGTCACCTACAGATCTGTTAAAGCTAGCTAAAAAAAACCTTTCAAAAAATTCGAGAAAATTCGCAAAAATTCCGATCCAAATTGAAAATTTGAATGCTACAATCCTAATTGGACTGATGTTAATCAACTCATGTGCATGATAATCCCTGATGAAGTATGAGATAGATTAAAAGACAAGGCTCATTGGCCTACCACGCAACCCATATGGGAACAAGATGCCTTAAATGACCACTGGAAAGCGATTCTGGACTCAATCCTAAACATCTGTCCAAAACGGAAAGACTGGGGAAAAATAAATGCTTGCAAGCAGATCAAATGTGAAAATACTGAAGATTATCTGGACAGATTAAAAAAGGTTTTTGCTCAGCACTCAGGTATTGAAGATTGTGAGAAAACAGCTCAGCAGGCTATTGCTAATGCTTTTGTTAATGGATTGCAACTTAAAATTTCTAGTGCTGTTAAATTGATTTATGTGGGGTGGCAATCAGAAACTTTGCTTAAATTACTGGAAATTGTGGTACATTGGTATCAAAATCAGGAAGATAAAAAGGATAGTATGTCAGAATAGCTTATGGCTCTGCAGATACAATAGGTTAAACCTGTGGGGTTTTGAACTAGGGGACGAGGACGGAGATGTGGGTTTGGAGGCAGGAATCCTATGTTCCTTCTTGCTTCCAAACCTATGGCCTTTCCCGCTTCTAGAGGACAGGCAAGAGGACAAATGCAAGTAACTTCTTATCGTTGGTGTGGTCAGATAGGCCACTAGAAAAGTGGATGTCCAAACCGCCCTCTTTCTGCACCGGGAATGTTTCCTCCTAGTAATGCTCCCCTATTTCCTAACTTTTTTGCATTTCCTCTGCCTCAACCCTGTTTTCCACAGCCTCAGCTAACTGGAGGAGAAATTAACTTTCAGACGGCTGATAGAAATGTGTCCTGCCAGGAAAGCCTAGAGGGCACTGCAGACCTCTTTTCCTCTTTGCTTATTCCTGTTGATCAGTCAGGTCCTTTTGTTAATTGTACTATAAATGGTCAAACTACCCTGTTTGCTTGATACTGGTGCTAGTCATTCTGCTCTTTCTGCTACTCAACTCTCTGTGGCTATTCCCTTGTCTGGCAAAGTAATTAATGCTACTGGAATTTCAGATAAGCCTATTCCCCATCCTTTAACGATTCCCTTGTCTGTTAACCTGGGTTCAGATAAACATGCCTTCCCTTTGAGCCCTGCTGCCCCTGTTAATCTTTTGGGACACAATCTTCTCTGTAAGTTAGGCTGTATTCTTTATTGTACTCTGCAAGGTGTTTTTCTGTAAGTGCCTGAGTCTAATGTTAATTCCACTCAAGCTGTGCTATCCACCTTTGATGCTGTATTCCTTGCTATTGAATCAATGTCTACCTCTTCTGATGAATTTCTTTCACAAGTGCCTTCTTCTTTGTGGTCAACTGCACAAAGTTTGAATTCTAGAAGTCTCTGCTGATTGGCTGAGCCTTGGTAGGGGGAGGTGCTTTATAAGGCAGTGGGCAAGTGAACAAGGAGCTTGTGAACAGGTGATTGCTAACAGGGAGTTTTGAGAGGGAGTTCTCCAGGTGAAGGAGAAGCAGATACAGGACTCTTGAGGGAAGTGTGTTTTGTTATTGGGGCTTCCTTACTGTGTGCTGAGCTTGTGTTTGTTTGGTGTGTGGTGGTGTTGGGTTTTATTTATTTATTTATTTATTTATTTTTCTTTCCCTGTTTGAGTGAGGCTTTAGAGAGGGAGTTCTCCAGGTAGAGGAGAAGCAGATACAGGAGTCTCGAGGGAAGTGGGTGTTGTGTTTGGGGCTTTCTTGCTGTGTGCTGAGCTTGTGTTTATGAGTGAGGGTTGGTGTGTGTTCTTTTTTGTTTTTTTGTTTATTTATTTATTTATTTTCCCCTGTGTTTGAGAGTGAGGCTTTTTTTTTCCCACCTCCCCTCTGCCCTCCCCCTCCCCTTGATGGAGTTTGTGCTGTGATTGGCAGGTGGAAACTGTTGGCTTCTAATTAAAGTTTGAATTCTAGAAGCCTCTGCTGATTGGCTGAGCCTTGGTAGGGGGAGGGGCTTTATAAGGCAGTGGGCAAGCGACCAAGGAGCTTGCGAACAGGTGATTGCTAACAGGGAGTTTTGAGAGGGAGTT